GCCCATTCAGACTTTGCACTTTCTTGGACTTTTGTGGTGCAATCAATGCATGGATCTTCTCTGGATTAGCCTCTATTTCTCTTTGATATACCCTAGGAATTTGCCAGAAGCAACCCCAAATGCACATTTAAGGGGTTCAGTCTCATTATATACCTTCGGAGGGTTTGAAAGGCTTAATCCAAGTGCTTCACATGACCATTTGATTTCAAAATTTTTACCAACATGTCATCCAAGTAGACTTCCACGTAATACCGACATTTTTTTAACTTAAAGGGCATAATCTTGTAACAATAGAGACCTCTATTAGTGATGAATGAGGTATTTTCCTCGTCTGTCGAGTGTATGAGAATTTGATTGTAGCCTGAGTAGGCATCCGTAAAGCTTAGGAGCTCATGTCCAGCGGTAGAGTCCACAAGTGGGTCAATTTTTGGGAGGGGAAAACTATCTCTTGGACAAGCCTGATTTAGATTGGAAAAGTCAATGCACACCCTCCATTTACCATTATGTTTCTTCACTAGTACCTGGTTGGAAACCCATCTTGGGTAGATGGCATCTCGGATAAACCCGTTCTGGATTAACTTCTGCATTTCCTCCTTAAGGGCCTCATACTTTTTTCGGGTTGAGGGCCCTTCTTTTTGTTTATGTGGGATTATCTTTGGATCAATTTTCAGGTGGTGGCAGTCGACCTTTGGGTTAATACCTATCATATCTTCGTACCTCTAAGCAAAAACATTAAGGTTCTTACATAAAAAATGTTTTAGTTCCTCCTTGGCCTCCGGTGGTAAGTTTTTTTTGACTTATAATTTGTTGTTGGGATTTTGGAGAGTCTACTGGGAAACTTTCAAGATCCTCCACCGGTGTGGTCTGGGATTCAAACTCAATGATACGTGGATCCAATTCATCGAGCATGGTTGGTCGTTCGACAGCATCGTCATCTCAACATCTTCCTGGCTAGGATTTTGTTCTTGAGTGTCTACCATGTGGACGCTACAAGCACCATATTGACGTTCCTTGGTTCGACCTTTCTTATAGAATTTAGATAGCATTCACACGCTCCCATTTGGTCACCCTTCACAGTGACAATCCCTTGTTCAGTGGGAAACTTAATACATAGGTGGTGAATAGAGATGACGCCCATAAGTCTTTCAAAGCAGGCCTCCCTAGCACCCCGTGATAGACTGACCTGCTATTTACTATAAAAAATTCCATGACGTTTAAAGTTATTTGAGGTGTCTTTCCCATCTCCACGGCAATGGTGATATTCCTTCGCGGGATGATGTTATCCCCGGTGAATCCACATAGGGGATTGTGATGAAGGTTACCTCGTGATTGATAATCATTTTGTCGAAGGTGACTCCAAAAAGGATATTGACCAAGTTTCCTTTATCGACCAACATCCGTTTTAACCCATTTCGGGGTACGACTGCCCTTACCATAAGTTTATTCCCTCGGTATCTACCTTTTGAAAGATATGGGGGGCAATGGTCTCCCTTGTGATCTGTTATCCACTATGTAACTTGTCATCATCTGTTATCCACTATGTAACTTGTCATCAGATGAACTGTAGCCTCTCTTGCATAGTTTCTCTGGGAGTTCCGTGTATCACTTCCCACATAAGGTCCTCCAAAAATAGTATCAATCTCATGGATTGGAGCATCTCTTTCATTAACCAGAGGATTCCTACGCTGCCGCTGCCCCTTTCTAGGTCCTTCTCTGTCGCAGTTCTTCCTCCATCGTGGAGATGTCTCCAGGCAACGAGTTGCCTCCTCTCACCTAGGCCTATAATCCTGCCTTGGTGGGGCGTGTCTCTAGGGGGGCGGACATTTCTTTGGTCATTCTGCATGTTCATATGTCTTTGATGTGGAAAACTTTCTCTACAATCTACTGTATCGTGGCTGTAAGAATGGTGGTAAGAACAATATTAAGGGGTGTTGGCCTATTTCTGGGTATCGGTCCCCGCTCCCGACTTCTTCCTCTTTGAGGGGCCCTTTGTCCGGATTCAGTCTGCTGCGTATTGGTCCCGGTCTCCACATCTTCGTAAGCCAATGTGGGTACGACATTCAATGTGGCCATGGCAAGTGACTGTCCTGCACTGGGGGCAATTTCATTACCAGCCTGGTTCCATTGGTGGTCCATTAGGTGGGAGGTTTTCCATTTCCCACGTTGTCTCTGTGGAGGTGGGAGACCCCTGCTGGCTCAATTTCGATGGTCAATTAACTCTTCATTAATGATTTCTCATCTCATCATTTTGACCAAAGCGTCGTAGCTGATGGGGTCCTGATTTTGCACATCCCTCCAAAATACGGTGTTCATGTTCAAATCGCCTAGAAATGCGAAGAGCACTTCCCGATCTGTGACCTGAACATAGTATGTCATTTCGTCAGTGAAGCGGCCCAGGGAACTTTTCAATGTTTCTACAAACTGCTGCCTAATGTCCTGAAGGGGCTGGATGGGAGCTTCTCTCTATTTGCTTACGGCAAATCTCTTTAGGAATGTATTCTTAAATTGCAGCTAACTCTGAATACTTCTTGGGGGTAGCCTACTGTACCAAATCTCGGCCGCTCCACTTAAAGTGAGGTGGAAGGCTCTGTATTTGATGGTGGGGGAGGCGCCTCTTAGGCTCATGTGTGTTTTATAACTATTCATATGTTTGGCCGGGTCACCTCTTCCGTCGTTCTTTTGTATTTTCGGTGGCACATAATGGCTTGGGATAGGTACATCCATCAATTCTTGTGAAAAGGAAAGTTTTCATCGTCTTCATCTAAGTTGCATGATCTTTAGGGATCATTTGAGTCCTCCTCATTGACTTGATATCTTGGTGGAAGATGTGATGGGCCTGACTGATCTCTCTTCCTCACTCCTATGTTGCCTATTCCTAGGCACTGCAACCGGAGGGGTATATTCTCGCCTTTCCTTCGGATTCTGAGTTTCAATAGGTGGTGGTTGAGGAATATTTCTAGGCTCAAGTGGTGGTTGGGACGTCTTACGCCTAGGTTTTGCAGGGCTGATCTTGTTAAATACACTTACAGACCTTTATGTCATATGCTCAGGTTCATATTCAGGGAGAAAAACGTCTTCCATGTCCTCCTGGGCCTCGGTAGGTCGGCTGGAAGCGTAGTTTGAGGAAACATGCACTTCAACTTCCCTTTCGAAGGGGGATACTTATCGATCTCGTTTAGGGGATGAGACCCTTTGACTTTGGACCTCATCCTCGTGAGGATAATGTTGCGTATAAGGAGGAATACGATGACCTCTTTGGCCTCGCATTTGTGTGAAAAGTTCCTGCATAGCCATGTTTGGTGGATGATGTTCCTCGTGTTGGCAGCCATGGTTGCTACCTCCCGGGTAAGTTGGTTAACTAACCTCATCCTCGAAGCTCATCTCCTTTTAAAGATGTCGTTGTCTAAACTTTTGGGGCTTCCTCTTGTACTTTTTCAAGAACAAATTCTTTTCTAAGGGGGATGCCCAACTCGTTCTCAACAAGCTTTTTCCACAGTGACGTTCGTGGTTTTTAGTAGTCTTTCCCACAGATGGCGTCAATCTGTACGCCAACAATCTGTTGTCCGTTAAATAATCTTTATTAATTTGAGAGGCGGCATGATAAAATTTGAATTTGAAATTATATTACAATAACTCTATTGAAACAAAATCAAAGTTCAACAACCCCCATTGAATTACATTAAAGTTTGGTGACCTGTTGAGATTTTGCCAAAAAAATCAATAAACTTACCCCGTAAATGGAATAGCTTGCGTGGAACACTATTGGCTATTATCTAACTTATCCCTCCATCTAAATTCATTGACTTATGGTCTATGGAATTTGTTTAAATCAATGTATGAAGTCTGTTTTTTGCTCAATAAATCACTTTTTTTTGTCCATGGTTATGTACCCATTTGCTATGGTGAAGGGATAACGTCATATGACGATTGAAGAGGTTCAACGTCATTGCTACTGCACACGAGCTTATTTGTTGATTTTAATGATGAGACTAAAACAAAAAGATCATTTGTGAACAATTTTTCGAGTACAATAATTAAGAAACAAATAGAAGTTTAGTGATTGATTTGAAATGGGCATAAAAGTTCCGAGACTGACTGAATTTTTTACCTACAACTTTTTAAAACAATAGTATCATTCCTCAACTCCAAAATTATATAGAATTATTATCACTCTTTTATATAATTTAATTTCTACTTTCATTCCAGAATTTTTACCATTCGAATGTTATTTATGTAAATTTTTATCAAACATATAAATATTTTTATAAAGATAGAAATAATTGATATTGATATATATTTTGTTTTTTTTTTTGGAATGTTTCCCTATAATTATATTTTGCACTCAATCTCTCGATTTGGTCTTGACATTGACCAGTTCGGTATACCAATCGTAGAGTATAGAAAAATAGACCAGCATTAAACTCAATTCATAACAAATTAGTTGTTATTCCAAATAAATTTGTTTTAGTACAAGAATTCAATTGATAACTATTAATTAATTAATTTTTTTTTTTTGGGTTGTGTGTGTGTGTGTGTGGGGGGGG